GTTGGGTGAGGACCGTAGACGCTGGATGGAAGTCTTTCTCAGAAGGATCTGTTTTCACTGTTTTCCAGGAGTTTGCAGCACTTACGAAAGAACTGAACGTATGCAGGGAGCAGCTCCTTGAGAGGGAAGAAGAAATCGCCGAGCTAAAAGCAGAAAGAAACAACACCAGGGTTAGTAGGTGATCCTTGCCGTTTGAAGATTTTCTCCTGGAGTCAATATCAGATCAGCATTGCTGTCTTTAAACTAGAAGATTTGGTCTACTCCTGGTTTTGAACACATTTTACATGTTGTCCTATTGAGTGGAAATTTGTAGTGAGAATTAATGATATGTTAATACATTTGGGGTAGATTCTCTAACGCCAGACGCGGTTGAAAGGAGTCACACTTGTTTTAGATCAAAAAGAAGGTGTTTTCTCTAAATTCAGGTATGAAACATAAAGTCGAAAGCACCCTGTAAACTCTGTGTGACCTGTGATTGCAGCTCCTGTTGGAACACCTGGAGTGCCTGGTCTCCAGACACGAGCGCTCCCTCAGGATGACGGTCGTCAAGAGACAAGCGCAGTCGCCAGCAGGCGTATCCAGCGAAGTAGAAGTTCTCAAGGCACTAAAGTCATTATTTGAACACCACAAAGCTCTGGATGAAAAGGTAGCCCTGCCGTGTAACAGCTCCTGGCTTGCACACGTGCTGTGTACTGGGCAGACCTCGTGTTTGTGTTACGTTAGATTGATTTTGGTCACTTCTGGACTTCTTGTCAACTAACAAAGTCCTTCTGTGAGAAGACAGGGTTCTGTGTGGTAAAGAGGACTGGTTGGCATAAAATACCTTAAAATTGATTACATTCTGTATATTGATTTTTCTATTAAGAATTGGGTAATATAATTTATTTGGGGGAACCTCTTTCTCATACTTGTTTTAGAGCCCTTGACACAAAGTTTCTTGACAGTAATATCAGTGAAAGACATTACAGGGGCTCCATTATGTTACAGTATACTAACATTGTATCAGGATAACCGTACATTAAGAATAAAAATAAACAGCACACACACTGACTCAATCCCTTTTATTTTTAGGTGAGAGAGAGATTACGAGTAGCACTTGAAAGGTGTAGTTTGTTAGAAGAAGAGTTAGGTGCCACGCATAAAGAGGTAAGCTTGATACATCGTCATATGGTGTGAATGGGGTGGGGGGAGGTACGATGTTAATCCCTTAATTTAAAACGAGCTGCGTGTTTCTGTGCCGCAGAATCTTTAAGTGCCCATCTGTCCAGTAGAGTGAAAAATTCAGTTTTTAACAATCTGGGTATATTCAGGATAGATCACATTGCCTTTTCTTCTCCCCCTGTACTAAGTTTAGCAGTTGACAGTTGCATTTCTTTTCAGAAGGAGTTTTGCTTTCTTTACTTCTCTTAAGTAAGATGTTTTACTCTCGTATTCAATTTTTTTGGTTTTAGCTAATGATCCTTAAAGAACAGAATAATCAGAAAAAAACACTGACGGATGGGATGCTCGACATAAACCACGAACAAGAAGATACGCCAAGCACGAATGGAAAGGTAAGTCAAGTCCTCGTCTTCTCGTTAATTTGTCCGCAGTACATGGGTAGACCATTTGGGAAGCTGTTGACAAAGCATCTGCGTAAACTTGAGCAGTCCTGAAAACTGTGTAATCCACTCGTTTACTTAGGTTGACTTTGATTTGACCTATCCGACTGAAGTGTTTTATTTCCTAGCTCACCAAACAAGGCTATTTATGGCTTTTTGTTTCCAGCAGAGGTCTTCCGGCGGTTCCCTGAGCCACGAGCAAGACCTGGCTAAGGTGGCCGAGCTGCAGGAGATCATAGACAGGCAGTCCCGAGAGCAGAGCCAGATGAAGGAGCGCCTGGCTGCCCTATCCAGCCACGTCACCGAGCTGGAGGAAGACCTGGACACCGCCAGGAAGGATCTCATCAAGTCTGAAGATGTGAACACCAAGCTGCAGAGGGATGTCCGTGAAGTGAGTGCTCGTGGAAACTGCAGTCTTGTTGGCATGAAGCCAAACACTCGGGGTGTTGGGTTAATTGATTTTTTTGGTCCATTTTGCCCCCTTCTCTCCCAAGTACTTTCAGCCTTTGGACTGTCATATAAGTAATAGAGAAATGAGTTGGTGCTGTGAGCCTGTAATGGGCTACCCAGTTTTGTGGTCAAACCTCCTTTTACCCCCCAGTTACTGCAGTAGAGGAGCAGTGGTCCAGCTGGCTCACTGGCAGCCGTGGGGCAGGTGTTAGGTTGACCCTTCCCGCCCGTGCTGCTCCAGCATGGTCTCACGCCCTGCTTGGGGGATTCCTGTGGTCAGACACGTCTGCTCATCTTCACAAATGCCAGGCTAATTTATTCCTCATTATGTACAGATTTCCTTCTGATTCAAACCTAGCAGCTCAGTGTCCACTCAGAGTGCTGTGGGGATGGACTGTGTTAGGGGCATGACTGGTGGTCTTATAGGATTCTGACATTCTCCTCCTCCAGGGATACATGGTACTGAGTACCGGTGTTCAGACGAACAGCAGGAGTGTAGAATGTGCTCACACTTCAGTAGGTATGATTATGCTGTACAAACGTGCAAACTCATGTACAGAAATACACTCATTTCTGGCAAACGTCCCTGCTTTTAGAATGCTTTATGAGAAACTGTCTGATGGTCGTTATAAAAGCAGAGGTGGACTGGATACATGCTCCTGCGACGTGTCTTGTTACACCTGCCGTTTGTCCCCCCTGCAAGGCCGTCTCAGACTGAAGCGTGTGCAGAGCAGGCTTATCCAGGCTGTTAGCTCAGTCTGAATAGTTCTGTATAAAAGTTCAGAATAGAGAAAAATATTGGATGTTTTCTCCAGCTCTTAAGTTTCCTTATTCTTTGAAAACAGTAAGAGATTATGTGATAGAGTTTAATAAGCATGGAATTTTGGAATTTTTTTTTTTTAAACCTGTCATTTCTAACAGTTAGACTTTGCTACCATTAGTCATTTAGTGAACAGGTAGGGACCTTAAAGCAGTGAATTATGGGGACCAGGGACAGGAATCGCACTAGCAAAAAGTTCTGGTCCTAGTCTGAATACTTGATACTGTGGAGTATGATTTTGCTACAGAATTAGACTTTAGGCAGTTGCTTTCAGTTAAATTAAACATTGGCTTCTGTCTGCATTTGTTAATATGCTTTGATTTTGTGGTGCTTATGTGAGATCTCATCCAGCTTTTACCCAGGAAGATGAGGCTCTTGTCTCACTGCTGTGGCCATGCAGAGGCCATGCTCTGTCCTGTCTTGGGCGTCTTCTTACGGCCCTTATGTCTTATTGTATAGAAAGGGAGAAGCTTGGCAAACTGAGTGAGCAGACAATTCTTTGTTCATTGGCTAGGTGAATATTTATGATAGTTGAGGTAGGGACGTTTTTATTCACATGTGAGAAAATTGATACCTCTTTCAGTTTAATTTTGAGGATGCTAATTTTATATTTGATTTGAAAATTAGGATTTAGCCCACTTTTTTCCCTCTTAGTGAGTATATTAATGTATTAAATATTAGTCACCTTTTGCGTTTTTTAATTTCTCTGAAATAACTACCCTAGGCCATGGCCCAGAAGGAAGACATGGAAGAGAGAATCACTACTCTTGAAAAACGCTACCTCGCCGCGCAGCGTGAAGCCACGTCCGTGCACGACCTCAACGACAAGCTGGAAAACGAGATGGCAAACAAAGACGCTGCGCGTCGACAGGTGAGGGCTCCGCAGGGCCGTCTGGCTGTAGTC